ACACAAGGCGGATGCCACACCTTAAGACCACTCAGCCCCCCCCCCCCCCCCCCCCCAACTAGTGTTATTCCTCTCTACTACTCATATACTTCCGTTCAGATAAACACGAACTCATCTCACTTTATATGCTCTGTAGTCTTGCTGTGTCAGTGAACTTAGAGTGTCCGCGTAAATTTCCAGTCCGGCAAACATTGAAGTAACAGTATCAGTTAGACAAACATTGAAGTAACAGCATTAATCTGGCAAACATTGAAGTAACAGCATCAGTTAGACAAACATTAAAGTAACAGCATCAGTTAGACAAACATTAAAGTAACAGCATCAGTAAGACAAACATTGAAGTAACAGCATCAGTCTGGCAAACATTGAAGTAACAGCATTAGTTAGACAAACATTGAAGTAACAGTATCAGTTAGACAAACATTGAAGTAACAGCATCAGTTAGACAAACATTGAAGTAACAGCATTAGTCTGGCAAACATTGAAGTAACAGCATCAGTCTGGCAAACATTGAAGTAACAGCATCAGTCTGGCAAACATTGAAGTAACAGCATCAGTCTGGCAAACATTGAAGTAACAGCATTAGTTAGACAAACATTGAAGTAACAGCATCAGTCAGACAAACATTGAAGTAACAGCATCAGTTAGACAAACATTGAAGTAACACCATTAGTCTGGCAAACATTGAAGTAACAGCATTAGTCTGGCAAATATTGAAGTAACAGCATCAGTTAGACAAACATTGAAGTAACAGCATTAGTCTGGCAAACATTGAAGTAACAGCATTAGTTAGACAAACATTGAAGTAACAGCATCAGTCAGACAAACATTGAAGTAACAGCATCAGTTAGACAAACATTGAAGTAACAGCATCAGTCTGGCAAACATTGAAGTAACAGCATTAGTTAGACAAACATTGAAGTAACAGCATCAGTTAGACAAACATCGAAGTAACAACATCAGTAAGGCAAGCATTGAAGTAACCGTATCAGTCTGGCAAACATTGAAGTAACAGCACCGCATCAGTCTGGCAAAAATTGAAGTAACAGTATCAGTCTGGCAAATATTGAAGTAACAGTATCAGTAAGACAAACATTGAAGTAACAGTATCAATTAGACAAACATTGAAGTAACAGCATCAGTCTGGCAAACATTGAAGTAACAGCATCAGTCTGGCAAACATTGAAGTAACAGCATTAGTTAGACAAACATTGAAGTAACAGCATCAGTCAGGCAAACATTGAAGTAAAAGCATCAGTTAGACAAACATTGAAGTAACAGCATCAGTCTGGCAAACATTGAAGTAACAGCATTAGTTAGACAAACATTGAAGTAACAGCATCAGTTAGACAAACATCGAAGTAACAACATCAGTAAGGCAAGCATTGAAGTAACCGTATCAGTCTGGCAAACATTGAAGTAACAGCATCAGTCTGGCAAAAATTGAAGTAACAGTATCAGTCTGGCAAATATTGAAGTAACAGTATCAGTTAGACAAACATTGAAGTAACAGTATCAATTAGACAAACATTGAAGTAACAGCATCAGTAAGAGAAACATTGAAGTAACAGTATCAGTAAGACAAACATTAAAGTAACAGTATCAGTAAGACAAACATTGAAGTAACAGTATCAGTAAGACAAATATTGAAGTAACAGCGTCAGTTAGACAAACATTGAAGTAACAGTATCAGTAAGACAAACATTAAAGTAATGGCATCAGTAAGACAAACATTGAAGTAACAGCATTAGTCTGACAAACATTGAAGTAACAGTATCAGTCTGGCAAACATTGAAGTAACAGCATCAGTCTGGTAAACATTGAAGTAACAGCATCAGTTAGACAAACATTGAAGTAACAGTATCAGTAAGGCAAACATTGAAATAACAGTATCAGTCTGGCAAACATTGAAGTAACAGCATCAGTCTGGTAAACATTGAAGTAACAGCATCAGTTAGACAAACATTGAAGTAACAGTATCAGTAAGACAAATATTGAAGTAACAGTATCAGTAAGACAAACATTGAAGTAACAGCATCAGTTAGACAAACATTGAAGTAACAATATCAGTAAGACAAACATTGAAGCAACAGCATCAGTAAGACAAACATTGAAGTAACAGCATCCGTAAGACAAACATTAAAGTAACAGTATCAGTAAGACAAACATTGAAGTAACAGCATCAGTTGGACAAACATTGAAGTAACAGCGTCAGTTAGACAAACATTGAAGTAACAGTATCAGTAAGACAAACATTAAAGTAATGGCATCAGTAAGACAAACATTGAAGTAACAGCATTAGTCTGACAAACATTGAAGTAACAGTATCAGTCTGGCAAACATTGAAGTAACAGCATCAGTCTGGTAAACATTGAAGTAACAGCATCAGTTAGACAAACATTGAAGTAACAGTATCAGTAAGGCAAACATTAAAGTAACAGCATCAGTCTGGCAAACATTGAAGTAACAGTATCAGTCTGGCAAACATTGAAGTAACAGCATCAGTCTGGCAAACATTGAAGTAACAGCATTAGTCTGGCAAACATTGAAGTAACAGTATCAGTCTGGCAAACATTGAAGTAACAGCATCAGTCTGGCAAACATTGAAGTAACAGCATTAGTCTGGCAAACATTGAAGTAACAGCATCAGTCTGGCAAACATTGAAGTAACAGCATCAGTTAGACAAACATTGAAGTAACAGTATCAGTCTGGCAAACATTAAAGTAACAGCATCAGTCTGGCAAACATTGAAGTAACAGCATCAGTCTGGTAAACATTGAAGTAACAGCATCAGTCTGGCAAACATTGAAGTAACAGCATCAGTCTGGTAAACATTGAAGTAACAGTATTAGTAAGGCAAACATTGAAGTAACAGCATCAGTAAGGCAAACATTGAAGTAACAGCATCAGTAAGGCAAACACTGAAGTAACAGCATCAGTCCGGCGAACCTAGTACCGATTTGTGTATATATATATGCCGAAAAAATCCCGAAGAGGTGGTAAAGTGTCCTTGACTTGACTGAAGGTTATACGAAGACAGTGGCAGTATGGGGTGACTGTCGTATCGTGACTAGCATGCTGGCCTTTCGGCCCTGTTGTCACGTGTTTGAACCTTGTCGTTAGGGACTGAGGAAAAACAGACCTGACTCAGTTTAGAAGGGATACACGGAAATGTTCGGTGAAGCAAAGAGTGCCGATATGACACCACACGTCAAATAAGACTGCCTGATTGACTTTCTACCCAACTAGGACATCTCACAATCGATAAACACCCGATGACACAAAGTGCCACCATGTGGATGAGGATCACAGTGGAGAGGTCCCAGAAACCGCGTTCAGACAATTGGCCATATTGATAGCCTGCCTATATTGCGGCCCCTGGCAAAAGCCAGAGTGGGGCTTCAAATAAAAAAAAAAAAAATTACGTCCTGAAAAGGACGTAAAGGAGAGTTCATATAGTTTCACGTCAAATATTGTTTGGTCTATAAAATATATAGCTAGCACCATAAACCGAGGGAAGAGACACAAATAAAACATGGGGGTGGGTATCTCAACACTCGTATAATTTACTAGAGGTGGGTTGTCCCACGTTGTTTAGGTGAGCAATAGTAATAAGCTGAAAATGTTCGACTCAGATGAAAATGCGTACCAGATAATTCATGGGAAGTAAAGGCGGCTGTTGCGACGTTGACCATATCAATAATTGAGTGTCGATTTGTCTATACACGTATTAGTCTATTGCTATACTCCCGATGCGCCGAAGGCATGCCAAGGCTCTTTTACTCCCAGCTACTGAGCTGAGTGCTCGGTGTGACACTGGCAGCCGAGGATTTCATGCGGAATATTTTTATTTTCTGTTGCGCCCGTGACGTGTTGTTGACTGCACTAAAATGGCGGGTGGCCGATCACGTGCAGAATAGTGTGTATTTTTGAGGGTGCAATGACCGTTTGCGCCAACAGTGAGATGCAGTTCTGTTGTAGTACAGCTAGTTTTGACACATTTGCCTATTGTCTTATGCATTTTTACTTTGCATGTGCAATATTCAAGATTCTCCAGGGACTGAAATTTGTTTCGTTTGTTTTTCAAATGGGACGTTTCGTGTGATTTCCACTGACCCAAAGGAAGGAATCAGATATAGGGTCAACCCGCCTACATTAAGGCTAGTAGCTCGACTAATGACTACCTAAATTCAAACCAACAATAATTGACGATGATGGCTCGTTGAGATTCCCGTCACTGTCACAAATGATGTATGTGTGAGATTGCCGTCACCGTCACCCATGCTGTATCAGTGAGATTCCCGTCACTGTCACCCATGCTGTATCTGTGAGATTGCCGTCACCGTCACCCATGCTGTATCTGTGAGATTCCCGTCACCGTCACCCATGCTGTATCAGTGAGATTCCCGTCACTGTCACCCATGCTGTATCTGTGAGATTCCCGTCACCGTCACCCATGCTGTATCTGTGAGATTCCACACACCGTCACCCATGCTGTATCTGTGAGATTCCACACACCGTCACCCATGCTGTATCTGTGAGATTCCACACACCGTCACCCATGCTGTATCTGTGAGATTCCACACACCGTCACCCATGCTGTATCTGTGAGATTCCACACACCGTCACCCATGCTGTATCTGTGAGATTCCACACACCGTCACCCATGCTGTATCTGTGAGATTCCACACACCGTCACCCATGCTGTATCTGTGAGATTCCACACACCGTCACCCATGCTGTATCTGTGAGATTCCACACACCGTCACCCATGCTGTATCTGTGAGATTCCCGTCACCGTCACCCATGCTGTACGTGTGAGATTCCCGTCACCCATGCTGTACGTGTGAGATTCCCGTCACCGTCACCCATGCTGTACGTGTGAGATTCCCGTCACAGTCACCCAAGCTGTATCTAAATATAGTCTCAAGGAAGTTAACGCCGGAAGGATGCATTTACGGATTAATGACGTCAGAGTTTCACCTGACAGGTAACGAAAATGGCATCTGTGATAGGAGCAACTTTAGCGATTATCTTGGCTCTGCTAGTTTCAGGTGTGTACGCAAAACTATCGTATTTAGATTCACTATTTATTGAAACATGATCCCAATATTCCACAATACAATAGTCTAGAATTACCATTTGACTTTTCAAGACCATTTCACTTAATCAAAGTTAACAACAATCGGCGGCCCAACAATCTATATAGAAGTTACAACCAACCACGAAAATTTAGACCAAATGAGAAGTAGAACGGAAACAGCAGAATCAAACAAGTGGTTAAATTAATGTAGACATAAATGGTTTTCATTTTAAATATTTCACGTTTACTGTATATTATCAGTTCAAATATGTACATTATAAAACTTTTATAAATACATCCACCCCCCCCCCCATCCACCCCCAACAGTCAAGGCAATCCTTTTATTCCTATTAAATTACGTTTTTATATCCGTTCGTGGTTCGTTTCTGTTGGAATCAATGACAAGACAACGAGGAAGGGACTCCGGTGAAAAGAAAGACACACTTGCAAGTAGAGAACATTTATAAAAAAATATTTGAATTATTAGCGGACAAAACAACAGGATGATTAGGTAACTTTCTAAATAAAGGTTAGTTGCCTATCCTTTACAGGAGGTTGCAGAACCAACCCCAGCAGCCCCTAGCTGTTATGTGCTTTCTCTTGGCAAATTTACGTCCAGTAGTTCGCCATTGCTTTTTGGACGGTTGGCCCCTGATACCACTGTTGAAACCAACTCAAGGTGCATGGCCTGCAGCTGGAATCGAACCCGGCATTACGAAGCTTTCACATTGACAGCCACAGAGCCGACAACTTTCTAAATAGACTTCAGAAACAAGCTAAAACAATCCCATAGTGAAGTAATCCTACTGAAATGACAATCCCAAAATAATCATAATGATGATCCCATAATGATCTTTTGAGGGATCATATAACAAACTGAAATATTATTAAATATTTTGGCCCAAGTCACAAACACTGGAAATCCTCGTCTGCAACAGATTTAAATATTTCTATTGTTACCCTGGGTTGTTGAAGTGCCAGCTGACTATCCCTTCCTCTTCAATCCTTGAATTTGAAGTTGTTTATTCAAATATTTTTGTGTGTTTAGTCAATCAAGTTACTGTGTTCAGTCAAACAAATTACTGTATTCAGTCAATCAAGTTACTGTGTTCAGTCAGTCAAGTTACTGTGTTCAGTCAAACAAATTACTGTATTCAGTCAATCAAGTTACTGTGTTCAGTCAGTAAGGTGCTGTCTCCACAACGAGGGCTGCCCACACTAGATCTCCGACACTCTTGTCTCTTATCTTGTTTGTTGACTGTCTGTAACTGCTGTTCTCCTTTCATTTATATTGCTCTCTACTTGTTGCAGTCTTGCCTCCAACTTTTCACACCAGTATGATTTCTAACACTTTCAGTTATTAAAATCTTGATAACAAAGACTCACTTAAGAAGAACACTCGGTTAACATGAGCAGCATTTTGATCCCAGCAGGAATATGTTCATGTTATTATTCTGTTCTGAATCTTAATCCTAAAACGGGTCATGACGCAGAAGGGGGAACCTAACTCTTTGTCTGGTCAGTAAAGTGGTGGGGGGGGGGGGGGGGGGGGGGGGGGTAGACAGTTCTGTAGTAAGTTGACGCAGAAGGGGGAACCTAACTCTTTGTCTGGTCAGTGAAGTGGGGGGGGGGGGGGGGGGGTAGGTAGACAGTTATGTAGTAAGTTGACGCAGAAGGGGGAACCTAACTCTTTGTCTGGTCAGTGAAGTGGGGGTGGGGGGGGGGGGGAGGTAGACAGTTCTGTAGTAAGTTGACGCAGAAGGGGGAACCTAACTCTTTGTCTGGCCAGTGAAGTGGGGGGGGGGGGGGGGGGGGGGAGGTAGACAGTTCTGTAGTAAGTTGACGCAGAAGGAGGAACCTAACTCTTTGTCTGGTCAGTGAAGTGGGGGGGAGGTAGACAGTTCTGTAGTAAGTTGACGCAGAAGGAGGAACCTAACTCTTTGTCTGGTCAGTGAAGTGGGGGTGGGGGGGGGGAGGTAGACAGTTCTGTAGTAAGTTGACGCAGAAGGGGGAACCTAACTCTTTGTCTGGCCAGTGAAGTGGGGGGAGGTAGACATTTCTGTAGTAAGTTGACGCAGAAGGGGGAACCTAACTCTTTGTCTGGCCAGTGAAGTGGGGGTGGGGGGGGGGGGAGGTAGACAGTTCTGTAGTAAGTTGACGCAGAAGGGGGAACCTAACTCTTTGTCTGGCCAGTGAAGTGGGGGGAGGTAGACATTTCTGTAGTAAGTTGACACAGCTACAGTAAACCACATCATGAAGGTGGTTTATAGTGACAGCGCCATGTCCAACTCCATAAAGATTATAAAGCCCGATCACGCAGGACATGCCAGACAAGCCTAGTTACTTTCAGGCAGAGTTGAATGGAAGTGAGGAGATTTAAAAAAAAAAAAAACGAAATAAACTCTCACAAAAGAATGTTTCCTGATGTTTTGACAGTAGAGGGTTTAATTTACAATCTGTAAAATCTTACGCATAAATGTTCACTTACGACATCAACTGTCCTTTGTTCGGGTAGACAAAAATGAAGAGTTCATTGATAATTTATCTACTCACTGTGTTCTTTTATTTATTTAATAAGATTTCTACATTTTAATTGTTTTTCTGTACAGTTTTACTGTGCTAAGTATCTTTATGAAGATTAACATATTTAAGCAATTATCTGGTTACTGGTTTAAGTATCAACATCATAGCACACAGGGCATACCCATAGATGCTCCGTCTCCTGAAGCAAATGACGTAAGGTGTAGATACTAGTAGTTCTCATAGCACACTGATTATACACAAGTCGTTCTCTTCCTCTCATCCGTCCATCCTTGCTGGATTGACACACAATTCCTCGTTCACACATTCTTGCACATGTTATTTCATCTAATCTTGTGTCTTTTGTCAACAGTCGTTCATATATAGTTTTCAGAATATCTCCCTAGTCCAGTACGAGTGTTCTTGTAGCTTTCACTTTTGTAGCCAGAAAATCCACTCTTTCATTCCTTGCACTCCTGCATGTCCCAGACAGTATATATATATATATATATATATATATGTGATCCCTTGCAATGTTGACGTACTGTCATGTGACATTAGTCCCATTGAACCTTCCCCAATGCCGACTGAGAATCAGACACATTAATTTCTCTAGTAACTTTGTTTTCTGCTATCCACTTCAGAGCTCCAGTGATTGCCTCCACTTTCCATTCTCAGGCTTGATACTGTAGATAAGAAAACTCCATTTTGTTCTGCCACAATCTTTCCCTTCATTCTAAATGAAAATCCACAGCCAGATCCTATACTCCAGTGAACAGAACCATCGGTGTAAACAAAAGTATAATCAGAAATAAACAAACAAATTAGTCCATTTTACATTGAGGACAATTTTTTGTTTAAAAAAAAAAGTTTGGATTCTGAACAATTTTAAGGTAGGAATTAAGTTCCAGAACCAAAGGTTCCACAATAATGAAAGAGTTTGCTGAAACTGATTAAGTTGGACCGGAAGGCTCAGATATCACAGCCTAGCTGTAAACCACAACACAACATGCCAACTGCCAAATTAAGAGGGGATACCAAAGAGAAAGGAGAATATAATCACAATTCTGCAGATAACACTCTTAGAATAAAATAATATTGACTACTATTCTTGGTTGAGCTGTTATGTGTGTTTTTGTTTGATTGTTATTTCCAGTGTGTGAAGCAGGAGAGTACTGCTACACCGGCAGCCTCTACACAAACTACTGCTTGTATGGATGTTGTGGCATTGGCAACACTGAATGCTGTTCTAGCTCGTAAGTCGCTACAACTCTAGTGTGTATATTTGCTGGTGATAGGCCACAGATATCATGTAAAGGACCCTGTCAACTCCTCCAGGTATACTGATGGGTAGTCATGAAGCCTACATGATGTCTATACCCTTAGGCACTTGATTGGGTTGTCATCAAAATGGTTTATGTAGTGTCAGTATTTGGCTTTTGATGGGTTGTCATGTGGCCTACGTGATGTCAACCTTTAGGATTTGATGAGTTGTCATGTGACAAGGGAGATGTTGTCAATATTTAGCACTTGATGGGTTGTCAGGTGACATAGGGGAACAAGACAAGGAACCAACAATCTGCTTACAAATAAGTCACAAGACAAGGAACCAACAATCTGCTTACAAATAAGTCAGATATGTAAAATGGATGTATATGCACCACTCAGGTTCTGGAACAAGATTAAAGTCCAGAATTTGACGAACACCCAGAACTTTCTGCCAGAGTTTACAGAAGGTGAACACGAAGAAGTTGGCATTTTTGCTTGATAGATCTGCATATACTTGAACTAGAAATACTTTTCTTGGTTGACACATTTTTTTCCCCATCAGTTTTTCACCTTTCATTAACTGTCGTATTGAAATGTAAATGTGGCTAGAACTGCTGCGCACAATAACTCTCTACTTGCTGTAATTTCTCTAGGATTGGCCTGATTGTTGGGTTGTGTGTCGGTGGCGCTGTCTTTCTGTTTTTTATAATCCTCACACTTTGCATGTGCCGAAGACGCCATTATGGAGGATTTATCTACCGAAGCCAACCAGCAGTTGTTGTTCAGCAAGGTAAGTTCAAATGTGTAATTTACATTTGCCTTCACTCCTTCCTCATTTTGAAAAATCTGGCCAGTTCAAAATTTAATTACAAGCCAAGTTTCTCTAAACATCAGTTTTTAAAGAAACGTTTCCCTTCCAGAACTGCAGCCTGGAGGTTTGGCACTCAGTGACTCAGACAGCTACAATTTGGATACTAATTGAACAGAAGCAAATCCTAGACACTCTGTTCAGCTTAGAAAAAAGTTGTATTGAGGCACTCTCTGGCCATGAGTTTCCTGCTGTCATATGTGGGTCAAGGTAACCGAGACTCTCTTCCACCACAACAAGGGTATACAACACATGGGTTATGATGTTTCGTTGGGAGGCAACCATCAGTCCCTAGGGACCCGGTAGCTGTGCTGCGGGTTTTGTCAACTGTGTCTACTATATCTGTAAAGTAGTCTGGGTGTGTAAAGTGCAGTGTGGGTGTGTAAAGTACAGTCTGGGTGTGTAAAGAACAGTCTGGGTGTGTAAAGTACAGTCTGGGTGTGTAAAGTACAGTCTGGGTGTGTAAAGTACAGTCTGGGTGTGTAAAGTTTTATTTGGTGGCTGTTTCAGAAGCATACAGAAGCAATGTGGTAGGTAAAAAAGTGGTGAAAACATCTTGTAGCTAAAATGCAGCGCTGCTTTACTCCCACTACGAATCTGGAAGGGTGAAGATGATAAATCTTTAGATATGGTGGTTTCTTTCAATTCTTGTGAAAGAATTTAATAAGGCTTAGTAGTTTCAGTGGGCATCTGTATTTGACAAGGATCTGGAAACATAATCAAAAGTCTTAGTAAGATCTATGAAATCAATAAGCAGTGACTTCTGTTGTTACCTGCACATTTCTTGTAGCTTCCTGGTGGAGAAGATCATATCTACTTTTGATCTCTGAGTTCCAAACTCACACTGTGATTCCAGTTATACATTTTCTGCTAAATTTGCAATCTTTTCAAGGTGACATGAGTGAACACCTTGTCAGCGTGACTTAACAGAGATGCCATGATAGTTATCAATATTGATTGTCTCACTTGTTTTTATAGTGTTATAATGTTGGCATCTCTCATTTCTTGAGATACAGATTTTCCTTGCCAACATTGACAGAGAATATTATGCAGCTCAAGGATAACTTGATTTGAGCATTTCAGAATTTTGGATGGAATACCATCATCTCCTGGGGACTCGCCCGAGGGAGGTCCATGCAGGATCCAGTATACCCCACATAAGTAAAAAAGTAAAGTAAAGATCCCTTTACACGCCCTTAGGCGCATCGGGCATATGGGAAGAGCACCCATATTTTTACAGGCCAATCGGCACTCGGTGGGTAATGTGGTCAGCATTACGCCAGCCGTCTTTACTTTCCCAGGACAGCCCATCCTGGTACCCATTTGAGGCTGGGTCGACCTGCGACGTCCCATACCACGATAAAAATTCACGCAGCCCACGTAGGTTTCGATTGCGGTACGTTGGATTACGAGTCAGACTCGCAACGCCTTAGCCACGGATACCCCACATAGCATACAACAAATTTAAAAGTGTATTTTGGAAGGTAATGTAGCTGGAATAATGTGATCTTATTTTGGAAGGTAATGTAACTTGAACAGTGTTATTATTTTTTGAAAGGTAATTTAATATAAACAGTTTTATCTTATTTTGAAAGGTAATGTGACCACTCAACAGGGAGTTGTCGGCACAGCAGGAGTACAGCCTGGCATTGTCTACCCTCCTTACCAACAGTACCCATACCATGGTGCTGCCTATCCAGCAGGACCCACTGCACCACCTCCTTACCCTGCTGCAGCGTACCAGCCAGGGTACCCACCCCAACCGTATTCTGCAGAGCCTCCCAAATATGAAACTCTCAATTATGGAGCTGATGGTGGAATAACCAACAGAGGATTTGAGGACAAAAATTAGATGCTTTGATTGGAATTTATATTAGTGAATTCTAAGGTTGTATTTTTCTACATTCCTTTTTTACCTGAAATAATCTTACCTTAACTCTCTAAGTCCCAAATAGATGTTATTTTTAACTCCTCTTTAATGAGCTGAGCTTAGAAGCAATTAATACTTAAGTTTGAAGTGTTAAATGACACGGAAGTAGTTGAACTAATAGCACGGATACAAAAGGCTGTGTAGCATCTGTCTGTGATAGAAAGTCACTAGGAATAGTAAATTATCTTTGGAATGGTGAAGAAATGTATTCTGAATTGTTTAGTCCTCAGAAGGTTAAAAACTGCTTGCTGATTCATCCCTCATTCACACAGAGAATAGAACAAACTGAAATCATTATACGTTGTGCAACATAATCGTTCTGATCATACACAATATTTTGTCCAAAATATGATAGTTAAGAAGGATAACATTTCTAGTCTTAATTTTTGCTAAAAAAAAAAAAAAGCTGACATGTACAAAAAATAAATATGTAAAGTAGGAGAGATGAATAACAAGAGAATTATATGTAGTTTCAGAGGCAATGGCAACAGTACAGGGGATAACAGAGAAATATACAATACAAATGTATACAGTAGAGTAGAAAATAAACAATACAAATGTAGACAGTAGAAAAAAATAATACAAAAGAGAATACTATGGGTTTAATATAAACATAATGGAAACATTGCAGTAAATTAAAGAGAGGGAGCATTTTCATGCCAGCGGGTTCTCGGGCTTATGATGCTAATCATGTTTTTCTAGACCAGTGGACACTCGTTGGGTGAGGTGGTCAGCATGACAGAACCACCTTTACCTCCCAGGACTTTTTCTCGTAGCCACTTTAGTATGATCAACCTGAAAGCTGATGCCATTAAAAAAAAACCAATCCAACTCGATGCAGATTCAAACCAAACCTTCGGGTCAGCAGATGAATTTCTAGACACCGCGCTCACCACATCTCCTTGGAAACGTATGCAGAGAATAAGATGCACTTCAAAGGGTAATATTGGTAATAAACTTAGATATACAATGAAATGTTCTGAACATATAACAGAAAATAGACAGAACAAACTTGTAAATTGAAGAGTTCATCGAAGTCTCCTACATTTAGATTAAGTCAGTCTAAATTCTCTTATTTTGCAAGATACATCGTTTTCATGTAAGATCTCAGACTTGAAGAATCATTCATTGTTGTTAGAAGTCAGTACGGTCTTATTATGAAAAATGCCAATAATCTTTAGAGCAAACATATATTTCTGTCAGTGTTACACTTCCAGACGTTTGCATATAGTGATCCTTTTTATGAAAAATGCCAATAATCTTTAGAGCAAACATATATTTTTGTCAGTGTTGCACTTCCAGACATTTACATATAGTGATCCTTATTATGAAAAATGCCAATAATCTTTAGAGCAAACATATATTTTTGTCAGTGTTACACTTCCAGATGTTTGCATATAGTGATCCTTATTATGAAAAATGCCAATAATCTTTAGAGCAAACATATATTTTTGTCAGTGTTGCACTTCCAGATGCTTGCATATAGTGATCCTTATTTTGAAAGAGCCAATAATCTTCAGCTACAAAAATATTAACACTTGAAGAAGATTCAGCAGATAAACAGTTTTTTTTTTTAAAACAGATATTAGGCAGTTTATATTGTATCAGGTGTTCCATTCAGGGCAGAACCTGGTATTATGTCCATAACTTTGACACTGATAACAATATGGCAACTAAATGTGGAGTGAACATACCCCCTTTCATGAGAAGTCGGTTGACATAACAGTTGCTGACAATGGCCACCATTGGGATCCAGGTCTTGAAAGCAAACATCACTGCCGCCGCCATCCAAGCAGTGACACCTGACGCACTGAGACGAAGTTTTCACAGCATGGAACGCTGCGTCCAAGAGGTGGAAACCTGTGACCAGTGAGCAGACAAACAGGCCTGCTAGCGATCATATCACCATGGCCCCAAATGACCAAAAATAATCAATAAATTGTGTAATTTTGTAACCCCCCCCCCCCACCCCCAAATCTTCAGTCTAGTAACTGATGAATAAATAAATACAAATGAAGCTAAACATGAACTGTTTTCACTGTTTCAACACAGCCAGTTTATTATGATGTTACAATGACAAGTATAATTTTCTCCAACCCCAAATAATTACATAACTTTTGTTGTTGTTCTAAATAAAATCATACCCACCATGTCTGCACACTGTGCAAGTGCAACCAGCACCAACACTTGAAGGATTGTGGCCACTGCCCAAAGACTTCTTGTCATCAAAAACTGGAAAAAACAGCTTTTTTCACGGCGACAGAGTTAACAACAGTAAATTAATCATGTATTTACAGATTTCAGTTCAATTTGCCAAACCTCTGTAAGTATGGATGAAAACGAGATCAAGTGGAAATGACTGAGTGTAATTGACTTATCTGGGTTACAAACCACAGGAAGTGCAGCGGGTGTACAGTTTTCTGCCATCACTACTTTCTTATCTGCATATAATGTGTTGCTGTTGCACACATAAGATCACAGAAATATATGCTGTATGTGTCTTAATTGTTTATTAATGGTAGGAAAGTTGGAGGAGAGGCAGAGGGAGACCGAGGAGAACAGATGCTGGACAGTTGACTTCATAGCATGGAAAATCATCTGTGTCAGAGTTGACTGAAAGTACATGAGATAGCAGGTTGTGGATAGACATGATACCAATGCCACAGATAGAAGGATGCTGGATGAACATGTCTACCAATGCCACACGGCATGGATATAAGGTTGTGGATAGACAGACTACCACACCACACAGCACAGACTTTAAGAAAGAATAATTTTATATTCCACATTTCCATATTCACTATGCTATACATGTTGATAATTTTGCTCACTGGATAACAAATTTGATGTGCAGTT